TTGCGACATGTAAATCGTCAAAAATGGTGTATTCGCTGTTAGCTTACGACCTCCACGATTGAGCTATCAAAAATGTTCTTCTCAATTAAGTATCATATTGGATAGGGGCTGAACGTGTCCTGGATTGGAATTTTCCCGATCATTCCCCTAGGAGGAGTTCGCAAGAATGTGCTTAAAATGCATGAAAAACGCAAATTTTTCAAAATGGCCGACTTCTTGGGGGTCGGGGCTAATGGAATTCATTTACAAATATGTCCGCAACTCCATGAGGAATGTCTGTGCCAAACTTCGTGAAGTTCTGAGAAACTATATGTGACTACCACAGTTTTTTTGAAAAATTACGTTTTTTTTTTACATTCTCGAAAAGGTTGTGTGTCCCAAGTTTTGCGTCCGAAGCTAATTTTATGCTATCGCAATTTAAAAAATATATATAGGCCACGCCCACATTCTGAATTTGTTGCGACACTTTAAATCTGAGTTCGTAGTCACCCGAGAGTATTTGTAAAAAAAAAATTAGTCCATCCGCTCTTGAGTTATAAATTGGTGGTGTTTTTGGCGCCCCCTATTGTCCAAAATGAAAATGCTTTGGTGTGCCTATTTCCCAAGACAGACTGAACCTATTTACCTAAATCTTTGATGTTTGGATACATTGTTGATGAGTTATGAGCATTTCTTTCTAACCCCCACCTTTTTGCGAGTACGTTTTGATTGACGTTGTCAATACTTATCGTCCTAACATGCTCATCTCCTAGGGTAATGTGTCTGACCCTCCACCGATGCTGTATACGAGGTTTGGTGATGAAAAACTGAAAATTGAAATTTAAGTGAATATTTAACTATTTTGAACATTATGTTAATTTAAATTAAATTAAAAAGAATGTAGGCGGAGCTTAGGGTTCCAAGAGGATTATTTGTAGAACAGGTTTACCGGGATATGTGTGCGAAATTTCAGGTCATTCGGAGTTACGGTGCGACTTTGTAAATTTAATCCGAAATGGAATTTTGATAGGTGGCGCTAGTGAGCAGGTTGGAATATTTAACCCATTGACTCCAGAATATTGAATTTTTCACCGGTCCTGGCGTCTGTGCAAAATTATACAACTTTTGAATCATCCTAAAGACCTCAAAAAGAGGAAACGCCAGCACTATAATAATAATACCACCAATAACAATAGGTTCCTCGCACTTCGTGCTAGGACGCCGTCGGGTCCTAGCGCTCCGTGCTCGGGCCCTAAATATAGAGCAGTATTACTGCAGTATTACTTCAGTACTAGTGTAGTATTAGTGTAGTATTACAGCATTAATACTACAGTATTACAGCAGTAATACTGCAGTATTAGTGTAGTATTACAGTAGTATTAGTATGTGTGTGTACTCACCAAACCACGCCTGCTGTTCTCCTTCGACCTCGATGGCAAGGCCGAAGTCGGCGAGTTTCACCGCGGCTCCTTTAGACTTCGATGCTAACAGCAGGTTCTCTGGCTGCAGACACAGGAGATGCTAACAGGCTAACTCTGCCCACAGGTTTACATTAACTCTGCCCACAGGTTTACATTAGAGAAGCTAACAGGCTAACTCTGCCCACAGGTTTACATTAGAGAAGCTAACAGGCTAACTCTGCCCACAGGTTTACATTAGAGAAGCTAACAGGCTAACTCTGCCCACAGGTTTACTTTAGAGAAGCTAACAGGCTAACTCTGCCCACAGGTTTACATTAGAGAAGCTAACAGGCTAACTCTGCCCACAGGTTTACATTAGAGAAGCTAACAGGCTAACTCTGCCCACAGGTTTACATTAGAGATGCTAACAGGCTAACTATGCTCGCGGGTTTACATTAGAGAAGCTAACAGGCTAACTCTGCCCACAGGTTTACATTAGAGAAGCTAACAGGCTAACTCTGCCCACAGGTTTACATTAGAGATGCTAACAGGCTAACTCTGCCCACAGGTTTACATTAGAGAAGCTAACAGGCTAACTCTGCCCACAGGTTTACATTAGAGATGCTAACAGGCTAACTCTACCCACAGGTTTACATTAGAGAAGCTAACAGGCTAACTCTGCCCACAGGTTTACATTAGAGAAGCTAACAGGCTAACTCTGCCCACTGGTTTACATTAGAGATGCTAACAGGCTAACTCTGCTCACAGGTTTACATTAGAGAAGCTAACGGGCTAACTCTGCCCACAGGTTTACATTAGAGATGCTAACAGGCTAACTCTGCCCACGGGTTTACATTAGAGATGCTAACAGGCTAACTCTGCCCACGGGTTTACATTAGAGAAGCTAATAAGGCTAACTCTGCCCACAGGTTTACATTAGAGATGCTAACAGGCTAACTCTGCTCACAGGTTTACATTAGAGATGCTAACAGGCTAACTCCTCCCACAGGCCAACATTAGAGATGCTAACAGGCTAACTCTGTCCACAGGTTAACATTAGAGATGCTAACAGGCTAACTGTGTCCACAGGTTAACATTAGAGATGCTAACAGGCTAACTCTGTCCACAGGTTAACATTAGAGAAGCCAACAGGCTAACTCTGCCCACAGGTTTACATTAGAGAAGCTAACAGGCTAACTCTGCTCACGGGTTTACATTAGAGATGCTAACAGGCTAACTCTGCCCACGGGTTTACATTAGAGAAGCTAACGGGCTAACTCTGCCCACGGGTTTACATTAGAGAAGCTAATAAGGCTAACTCTGCCCACAGGTTTACATTAGAGAAGCTAATAAGGCTAACTCCTCCCACAGGCCAACATTAGAGATGCTAACAGGCTAACTCTGTCCACAGGTTAACATTAGAGATGCTAAGAGGCTAACTCTGCTCACGGGTTTACATTAGAGATGCTAATAAGGCTAACTCTGTCCACAGGTTAACATTAGAGATGCTAATGTGTACCTTCAGGTCTCGGTGGACGACGCCCATCTGGTGACAGTGAAGTACGGCCTCCAGAATCTGCTGGATACAGTGACTGCACAGAGACAGGTCAGAGGTCAGAAGTCAGGGGTTCAGTAGACCAATCAAGTGAAGTCTCGTTTGAGTATTTCCTACCTGGCGTCAGCTTCACTGTAATACTCTCGGGCTACAATATCTTCGAATAACTCTCCACCTGTTATCCTGGGAGAGAAAACATCATAACGTAACATACCATAACGTAATAAGGTAACATACCATAACGTAACATGTGCAACTCGATTTTGACAGGAAAGCAACTGGAGACTTCTAGAATTGTGTGAGTAACGTTCTGTCTTTAGACTTATCTGTTTCAGTGTGTGTGTGTACTCTGTATCAATGCTCTGTAGTTGATCTGACTGAAATTGTGATTTTAAATCTCAAAACCGCTACAGTATCTGTCAGGCAGAAACTTGGGACAAGTAATTTGACTGAAACCTTAAAACTGAACTAACTGACTGCTAGGGTTAACTTTGATTTAAACATTTGTAGAATACTAAGAGCTTTATTGAGTAGGTGTAACTGTATTAAGGGTTAAACTCATAACTTTATAACTTAGGGTTTAATGTAATTGTAAAACCATTGGGCCACTTAAAATACAATAACAAGTCAGGAGGGAGCCAGTCTAGATTTCCTTTTGAGGGCCACCAGCTGCAGAGAGTTAACTAATTAAAGGGGCTTGGCCCCACAGCTGTGAGAACTCAGCAATCAGGTGTCCATTTTAGGTAGCACTTTCCTAGAGCGTCAGCTTCAGCGTCAGACAGGCTAAGACTGACAAAGACATTGGAGTCCTGCGAGAGTCAAAGACTGACAAAGACATTGGAGTCCTGCGGGAGTCAAAGACTGACAAAGACATTAGAGTCCTGCGGGAGTCAAAGACTGACAAAGACATTAGAGTCCTGCGGGAGTCAAAGACTGACAAAGACATTAGAGTCCTGCGGGAGTCAAAGACTGACAAAGACATTAGAGTCCTGCGGGAGTCACGAGGGAGGCAAATCCTACTTTGATTGAGCTAAAGTATCGCTGGTGTTTTATTTTATTTGGTTGTTTAGCCCCTCATGCTATAATCATGTGTATTTTCTCCATTCCTGTTTATGTGTCTTCTCGCAACTATCACTGGCCGTGTATCTCCTAATCGATATAACCGGCCTGCTCTCATCTATCCCACGTGCTCCACTGAGATCCAACATCTAGTTTCAGGTGGCCTGTGGAATTGCCAGTCAGCTGTTCCTAAGGCTGACTTCATCTCTGGCTATGCTTCCCGGCAGTCTCTGGATTTCCTTGCACTCACTGAGACCTGGATTACTCCATCCAACACATCCACCCAAGCAGCTCTCTCCACAGCATATTCCTTCTCCCATACACCCAGACCAACTGGCAGAGGAGGTGGCACTGGTCTCCTGCTCTCTCCCAAATGGAGCTTTTCCCTCTTCAAGCTACCTAACTTCACTCCTTCCACCTTTGAATTCCATGCCGTCACAGTAACCCATCCTATACAATTAACCCTTGTTGTTCTCTACCGTCCACCAGGCGCCTTGGGGGACTTCTTGGAGGAATTAGATCATCTCCTCTCACACATCCCTGAAACTGGTCCTCCCGCTGTACTTCTCGGAGACTTCAACCTCCAGACGGGGAAGATAGACGAACTAACATCTCTGTTAACCGCCTTTGCTTTCTCACTGTCTCCTTCCCCACCGACTCATAAAGCTGGCAATGTCCTTGATCTCATATTCTCAAGGAACTGCGCTACTTCTAACCTCTCTGTAAACCCGCTCCACACATCCGCTCACTTCTTCATTTCATTCTCTCTACCCCTTTCCAAACATAACAAACTAATCTCTTCTCATCCTGCACTTGTCCGCCGTAACCTTCACTCCCTCTCCCCCTCTACCTTTGCCTCATCGGTGCTCTCAGCCCTCCCTTCCTCTGACTCGTTCCAACTCCTACCTCCAATCTCTGCTGCAGAAACTCTCCTCTCTACTCTCTCATCCACTCTGGACTCGCTCTGTCCTCTCACATCTCGGCAGGCTCGTCAGTCCCCTCCTGCTCCCTGGCTAAATGATGCACTGCGTGCTAATAGAACCGTCCTTAGGGCAGCAGAGCGGAAACGGTGGAAATCCAAACACCGTGACGACCTCCTAACCTATCAAGCTCTCCTCTCCTCTTTCTCTGCTTCGATCTCTCAGGCAAAAAGCACTTTCTTTCAAGATAAGATCCAATCTTCCTATTCCAATCCCAAAAAACTATTTTCCATCTTCTCCTCCCTCTTGGACCCTCCAAAAGCCCCTCCCCCCTCCTCACTTCTGTCAAGCGACTTTGTTAACCACTTTGAAAAAAAGGTTGATGATATTCGCTCTTCTTTTTCTGACTCACCTTTACTCACCGCTGGGTCACCAGACCTTCCTTCCACCAACACACTAACCTCCTTTTCCCCTCTCTCTCCAAGTGAAGTTCTTACCCTCATTACCTCTGCCCGCCCTACCACCTGTCCTCTGGACCCTATCCCTTCAAACCTCCTTCAGACTATCGCTCCTGATATTCTACCGTTTCTCACCCATTTCATCAACACTTCTCTAACTTCTGGTCACTTTCCAAACAGTCTCAAGGAGGCAAGAGTAAACCCTCTCCTAAAGAAACCACTCTCAACCCGTCTGATGTTATAAACTACAGGCCTGTCTCTCTACTCCCGTTCCTGTCTAAAACACTTGAACGCGCTGTCTTTAAACAACTCTCCTGCTATCTCCATCAGAACAACCTTCTGGATCCGCACCAGTCTGGTTTCAAGGCAGGTCACTCCACAGAAACTGCCCTCCTTGCTGTCACTGAGGAACTGCACACTGCTAAAGCAGCCTCGCTCTCCTCTGTCATCATCCTGTTGGACCTGTCTGCTGCATTCGACACGGTGAATCATCAGATCCTCCTTCGCACTCTCCAAGAACTTGGAGTTTCAGGCTCTGCACTTTCCCTCCTCACCTCATACCTGAAAGACCGTACCTACAGGGTGACTTGGAGAGGGTCTGAGTCCGACCCTTGTCAATTAACTACAGGGGTCCCTCAGGGCTCTGTTCTTGGTCCCCTCCTCTTCTCCCTGTACACAAACTCGCTCGGATCAGTCATTAGCCCGCATGGTTTTTCTTACCACTGCTACGCTGACGACACCCAATTAATTCTGTCCTCCCCTGCTCAGAGACCCAGGTCGTCGCACGCATCTCTGCTTGTCTAGCTGACATCTCTCAGTGGATGTCTGCAGAGATGGGGACTCGAGTCTGTGACTCGGACTCGAGTCGCACTTAAGTCGCACACACAGAGACTTCAGACTTGACTTGGACTCCTGCTCAAAAGACTTCGGACTCGACTTGGACTCGTGTTTTGGGACTCGTGAACAATCATTGTGTTTTCTATTTTTGGCGTATTAAAGGTGGGGTAGGTGAGTTTGAGAAACCGGCTCGAGATCGCTAGAATTTGAAAATACACAACCGGAGAAAATCTGCCACTTCCTCACAGAGCCCCTCCTCTAACACACACGAACGCGCACATGACCAATGAGGGCACGAGATAAGTTTGTGCCCCGATGGCAGGCTGACAGGCAGGTAGGCCATCCAGTTACTTTAGCCGGGCCGGCTAAAATAATTGGTCGTGCTTTTTACAGCGCCACGGCTTCCACAGATGGATTTTTATGGATTTTTTGTCAAAGCACTTCAGATATTCATTGCTATCTGGATGTTAAGAGGATTCCATGGAATATAACAAAAAGTGTATCTCGAGCCGGTTTCTCAAACGTACCTACCCCACCTTTAACATTAACATCATGGTACCACCATGGCGACCGGCGGCACACCTGCAGCTGTACCGCTTGTAATTAGGTTCAACTATAAAAACTTCGAACAAAACGCCAGCGGCACCAACAGAAGGAGCGCACACTGCAAAGTCTGCAATATTAAAATCAAGGATGCTGGTGCAACAACGTCAAATGTCATCAGGCACTTGAAAACTCACCCGGGGAGGTCAGTCACATTAACGCATATGGACGGTTAGCAAACATGTTTAGCTCAGCATCAGCTATGTAATGTTAACTTAGCTTGCTACTAGCTTTGTAACTGAATATTTGAAAAGATGAGTGAATGTTTGCTTGTCACACTTGTTTGCGTTGAGTGGCGTTGACATCCAACTCTTGACATGACATAAAAAAGGTCGGTAACGTTAATCATTACGTTCCGCTGCCACCATCTACTGGCTAACGTTAAACGTAGAAAAATACATAGTTACATACATAAATACATCTGTCGGTTTATAGGCAGGCTACAGGTTTATTGTTGACCACGTAACGTTAATGTTACAGGTTTATCAGGTTACCATTACACTGGGTTTGAGTGAGAGGATAGAGGAATATGTTTATTTATAGTAGACTTAAAAGATGTCATTAGAGACCCAGTGTAATTCAACAATACGGTTGCAGAGGTCAAACTGGCCAAATGGCTAGCCTAGCCTCATGTTGAAATGTTACCAGCCACTCAATAGATTGCCATTGTTATTTGTGGCTGGTGCGTGCAACATACAGAACCAGCCACTTGCATGATTTACCAGCATCTGGCTGGTAAATGGTGTTAATGGTAGATATCTCTTTTGGAACAGGTCATGTTTTAATATCACCAGTTCAGTATATTTCAGATCATATTGCAGCAATAGTTTTTTAGTTGCAAATGGCACAGAACAAATGGTTACTTTTAAGTACTTTTAACACAGTTTCCCTGCGGGGGATTCATAAAGTATTTGTGATACTGATTTCTGATTCTGAAGTGTTTTGCTTATAAGTTGTTTGCATTTAGCTAAAGTGTGATGTTTGTCCTCACATTGCAATAGCCTGTTTAAAGTGATCATATAACAAACAACTAATTAGTACTGATACTGTATGCTAATAGATATAGGAGTGATAATAATACAGTCAATGCTTTGAATGTCTTAGATATAGCTGTGCAGTATTCTTAACAGACTGGATAGCAGCAGACAATAGAAGGCTTATTACAACCAGAAGAGACATGAGACTTTTATTTTCTAGAGACTTGAGACTTGACTTGGACTCGTGACCAAAGACTTGAGACTTGACTTGGACTTGCAAAAAAAGACTTGTGAACATCTCTGGATGTCTGCTCATCACCTCAAGCTCAACCTTGACAAGACTGAACTGCTTTTCCTTCCGGGAAAAGATTGTCCCACTCTTGACCTAACAATCAACATCGGCACCTCAGTTGTTTCCCCGACTCAGACTGCAAGGAATCTGGGTGTGACCCTAGATAACAGCCTGTCCTTCACTGCAAACATCGCTGCTACAACCCGTTGCTGCAGATACACGCTTTACAACATCAGGAAGATACGTCCCCAGCTGACTCAGAAAGCGACTCAGGTTCTGGTCCAGGCTCTCGTCATCTCACGCCTAGACTACTGCAACTCCCTCCTGGCTGGTCTGCCTGCATGTGCCATCCGACCTCTGCAGCTCACCCAGAATGCAGCGGCTCGTCTGGTCTTCAACCTTCCTAAATGTTCCGACACCACTCCGCTCCTCCGCTCCCTTCACTGGCTTCCGGTAACTGCTAGAATCCACTTCAAGACACTGGTACTTGCTTACCATGCTGCGAATGGATCTGGCCCTTCCTACATCCAGGACATGGTTAAACCGTACACCCCAGCATGTGCACTCCGCTCTGCATCAACCAAACGGCTCGCTGCACCCTCGCTGCGAAGGGGACCCAAGTTCCCATCAGCAAAAACACGTGGGTTTTCTATCCTGGCTCCAAAATGGTGGAATGAGCTCCCCATTGACATCAGGACAGCAGATAGCTTACGCACCTTCCGGCGCAGATTGAAAACTCATCTCTTTCGACTCCATTTCGAGCGATAGAACTATTAACAAAGCACTTATATACTAATAAAGGGCTGGCTTACCTAAAGCCAGTTGAGTAGCACTTGTTTTTGCTCTATGAAGCCTGATGTACTTTATGATTCTGTTTTCCTCAAGGTTGTATTTTGTTGGTCGAACGCACTTATTGTAAGTCGCTTTGGATAAAAGCGTCAGCTAAATGCAATGTAATGTAATGTAACATACCATAACGTAACGTAACATACCATAACGTAATAACGTAACATACCATAACGTAACATACCATAACGTAACATACCATAACGTAACGTAACGTAACATACCATAACGTAATAACTAGGGCCGGGACTTTAACGCGTTAATTAAGATTAATTAATTACAAAAAAATTAACGCATTTTAATCGCACTTATTTTTGCACCGCGGAACGTTTCTCACTGGATGAGTTTCAGGCGTACCGATTATACTGGAGCACCAACTAACGTTCATGACTTCAGACAACAACAAACCACAGTGAACAACAGTGGGAAATGTTGTTTTAAAAAACGGACGGATGGAAGCGTCGATAAAAGCACGGTTGTGTGCAAATTATGCAAAAAGGAAATCGCATATCACCGCAGCACCACCAGCCTCAAGTATCACCTCAATGCAAAACATATAGCAGCTAGCGTGGACGTTAGCCTCTTTTATCGCGTTCACACCAAAAAGAGCCGGTACTAAAATTAGTTCATGAGAACCTTTTTACCCCCACGAAAGTCCCTGCTAGAGAGCAGAGAGCTGCTAGAGAGCAGGGACTTTCGTGCGGCTCTCTTGTGAGAAAAGAGCTATATTTCTGATTGGCTGGGCGGATTGCAAACCACGCCCCGTAAAACTCCCAAAAAGTTTTGTGAAGCCGCCATTTTATTATCCTCGCATTAGCATTATTAGCATTAGCCCAGCGCAGAAACTCAGAGAGACTAACTTATGGCAACACAAAATAAAACATGGGAGCGGTGGAGATGAGGAGGTGTCGGCGTTCTGGCGATTTACTCGGAAGGCTTCAGTAGAAGCTGCTGGGACTCCCAGCAGCTTCTACTGAAGCCAGTCCCCAACTCCGGGGACTTCCGGCCGGGGACTTTGGGCGGCAGTATATGCCGTGAAGTGGTTTGCGGCCTGCCAGTAAACCCAAAGCAGAAGAAGAAGAAGTGACGTCAGCGGCTTCATTTGCCTAATCCTCCCCCAGGTTCAAAGAGTTCTCATGAACTAAGTTCTCATGAATCTTTGTGGGAAAAGTACTGCGGTGTGAATGCGCCTAATGGTATACTAAAATCCATGTGGAAAAAATTGCTTCTCACTGTTCTCAGGTCAAATATTTATATGTGATTAAAAATGCGATTAATTTCGATTAATTAATTACAAAGCCTCTAATTAATTAGATTAATTTTTTTAATCGAGTCCCGGCCCTAGTAATAACGTAACATACCATAACGTAACATACCGCAACGTTGCGGTATGTTACGTTATGGTATGTTACGGTATGGTATGTTACGGTATGGTATGTTGCGGTATGGTATGGTATGTTACGGTATGGTATGTTGCGGTATGGTATGGTATGGTATGTTACGGTATGGTATGTTACGGTATGGTATGTTACAGTATGGTATGTTACGGTATGGTATGTTACGGTACGTTATGATATGTTACGGTATGGTATGTACGGTATGTTACGGTATGGTATGTTACGGTATGGTATGTTACGGTATGGTATGTTACGGTATGGTATGTTACGGTATGGTATGTTACGGTATGGTATGTTACGGTACGTTATGATATGTTACGGTATGGTATGTTACGGTATGGTATGTTACGGTATGGTATGTTATGGTATGTTACGTTATGTCATGTTAACATACCGTAACGTTGCGGTATGTTAACATGACGTAACGTAACATACAGGTATGGTACTCACAGGTCGAAGATGAGGTAATGATGAAGCTCCTCTGAGATGCTGTCATGTAGCCGCACTGAGGAGAGAGAACAGTTATCAGCAAGCTGTATGCTACATGCTACACGCTACATACTACACGCTACACACTACACGCTACACACTACATATTACACGCTACATACTACACGCTACATACTACACGCTACACGCTAGGCTATCACTTTCCCTAGGCTTGCAGTATTTGTGTTAAGCTAGGCTAATCACAGAGAGGAGAATAAAGTACTGCAGTATTTCACATTGTAGTATTACTGCAGTATTTCACAGTAGTTACTGCAGTATTTCACACTGTAGTATTACTGCAGTATTTCACAGTAGTTACTGCAGTATTTCACAGTAGTAGTTACTGCAGTATTTCACAGTGTAGTATTACTGCAGTATTTCACAGTAGTTACTGCAATATTTCACAATGTAGTAATACTGCAGTATTTCACAGTAGTAGTTACTGCAGTATTTCACAGTAGTTACTGCAGTATTTCACACTGTAGTATTACTGCAGTATTTCACAGTAGTTACTGCAGTATTTCACACTGTAGTATTACTGCAGTATTTCACAGTGTAGTATTACTGCAGTATTTCACACTGTAGTATTACTGTAGTATTTCACAGTAGTTACTGCAGTATTTCACAGTAGTTACTGCAGTATTTCACAATGTAGTAATACTGCAGTATTTCACACTGTAGTATTACTGCAGTATTTCACAGTAGTTACTGCAGTATTTCACAATGTAGTAATACTGCAGTA